GGGTCTCGCTCTTGCTCAGGCTGGCCTCGACCTCCTGACCTCGAGCGATCCTCCTGCCTCGGCCTCCCAGAGTGCTGGGATGACAGGCGTGAGTCTCTGCACCCAGCTAATTTTTTCTCTCTATATTTTTTTTTAGTCGTCCAGCTCATTTCTTTCTATTTTTTTTTTTTTTTAAGTAGAGACGGGGTCTCGCTCTTGCTCGGGCTGGGTAGCAGTTGGCACGGGGGGGAACGATTTATTCGGTGGATGTTCCCAACCAAAGAAAGGAAAAGCATCTAGAAACTAATACACGACAAGACAGACTCAAACCGGGGACCCTCAGGAACTGCCGGGATCGCAGGAATGAGCCAAACCCCGGGGGGCAGCCGGGACCCTCATTTTATAAAGTTGAGGGTCAGGGCCGGGCGCGGAGGCTCAGGCCTGTCATCCCGGCACTCTGGGAGGCCGAGGAGGGAGGATCGCTCGAGGTCAGGAGGTCGAGGCCAGCCTGAGCAAGAGCGAGACCCTGTCTCTACTGAAAAAAAATAAGAAAGAAATGAGCCGGACAACCAAAAATATATGGAGAAAAAAACGAGCCGGGCGTGGTGGCGCACGCCTGTAGTCCCAGCTACTCACGAGGGAGGCCGAGGCGGGAGGCTCGCTGGAGGCCGGGAGTCGGAGGCTGCTGTGAGTGAGGCTGACGCCACGGCACTGACTCCAGCCCGGGCGACAGAGTGAGACTCTTGTCTCAAAAAATAAATAAATAAATAAATAAATAAATAAATAAATAAAGTTGAAGGTCAGAGGGGGAGGCTGAGGCCGGAGGATCGCTTGAGCTTGGGAAATCGGAGGCCGCCACGAGCGAGGCTGGACAGAGTGAGACTCTGCCTCCAAATAAATAAATAAACCAATAAATAAATAAAAGTTGAGGGTCAGAGAGGGAGACTGAGGCAGGGGGATCGCTCCAGCTCAGAAATCGGAGGCCGCCATGAGCGAGGCCGGACAGAGCGAGACTCTGCCTCAAAATTAAGGAAAAAAAAGTTGAGGATCAGAGACGGAGGCTGAGGCTGGAGGATCGCTTGAGCTTGGGAAATCGGAGGCCGCCGCGAGCGAGGCCGGACAGAAGGAGACTCTGCCTCAAAAAAAAAAAATTGAGGGTCAGAGAGGGAGGCTGAGGCTGGAGGATCGCTTGAGCTCGGAAATCGGAGGCCGCCGGGGGTGAGGCTGGACAGAGGGAGACTCTGCCTCAAAATAAATAAATAAACCAATAAATAAATAAAAGTTGAGGGTCAGAGGAGGAGGCTGAGGCGGGAGGCTGGCTTGAGCTTGGGAAATCGGAGGCCGCCGCGAGCGAGGCTGGACAGAGCGACACTCTGCCTCAAAAAAAAAAAAGTTGAGGCTCAGAGAGGGAGGCTGAGGCCGGAGGATCGCTTGAGTGGGGAAATCGGAGGCCGCCGCGAGCGAGGCCGGACAGAGCAAGACTCTGCCTCAAAATTAAGGAAAAAAGAGTTGAGGATCAGAGACACAGGCTGAGGCCGGAGGATCGCTTGAGCTTGGGAAATCGGAGGCCGCCGCGAGTGAGGCCGGACAGAGTGAGACTCTGCCTCAAAAAAAA